ATTATCTAAAATAGAATCAAAAAAACTGTTTGCTGTATCAATTTTTTATATATTATATAGATATATTATAATTTTTTTATTATTATTATAAATACAGAATAGATGTTTTGAAACTTTTTGTTATATCAGTATATAAAAAAATTTTATCATTATATAAAATAGAGGTTTTGAAACTTTTTGCTATATCAATTATATATATATTTAATTTTTTTTATTATTATTATTATTATTATATAAAAAACAAAACAGATGTTTAACATAGATGTTTTGAAACTTTTTGTTATATCAGTGTTTATATATATTTTTTTTAAATAATTTGATCATTATATAAAATAGAGGTTTTGAAGCTTTTTGCTATATCTATCTATCATCCATATATATTATAATTTTATTATTACATAAATACAAAATAGATGTTCTGAAACTTTTTGTTATATCAGTGTATATGTATATATATATATATATATATATATATATATATATATATATATATATATATATATATTATATATATATATTATTTATATTTTTTTTTTAAATAATTTTGTTATTACATTACATAAAAAACTTTTTGAAACTTTTTGTTATTTCGGTGTACAGTATATATCTAAGAAAATGTTTTTAAATAATTTTATTACATAATATATAAAAATAGATGTTTTGAAACTTTTTGTTATATCCTATCTATCTATACATTTATATATGCGGATATAGGATTATAACTTTTTCTTTTTTTTTTTTTAATGGCTGAACTGCATGGACTTTTGTCTTTTTTCAGCCAGACTAACTATGTAATTGTATGTCTCTGGGATATCGCCATTTAGCGTCACTTTGAGAGGTATTTCCCGACATACGTATTCGGTGTATTAGGCGGCGGTAGAGAAGACAACTCATTTTCGTAAATCCAATAATGACATAAATCACAATAATTCTCGTCTCTGGAGTGTCTATGTCAGGCCCCGCTGTCCCCGCGCCTCCATTAAGGCCCTCAGACACGACCCCTCGCAGGCCTTATCTACACAGCGATCGCCATTCGCTCCTTCTGCGCAGATCTTGTTTGGGTGCCGCCTGAGCCCTCCGCAGCCTCGTAAAGATGGAAAACGTGTTTATAATTTTCATTTCTACTGAAAACTGTTGCGGTTTCCACATTATATAACGTTGCCGCCGGCCCCGAGCTACAGAAGAGCTATTACAAAAAAAAAAAAAAAAAAAAAAAAAAGCAAGGCCTGTCTATATAAAAGCCGGATTGGCCGCCGTCCAGAAACGACTTTAAAGTGAAGCTTAGTTTTTTTTTTTTTTTTATTATTTGGGTCATAAAACAAAAGAGTTGTGTGATAAATGGAGATCTGGGAGGGGAGCGGACATGGGTGGCAATCAGGGGCCGACTGACAACTCATGGGGCCCCTGGGCAATAGGGGATCATGGGGCCCCTGTGTCCTTGCCCAAACTCAAAAAAGCCTATGAAAAAGGTACCAGGGGCATCTCATGGGGCCCCCTACTGACCCCGGGCCCTCGGGCAGTGCCCGAGTTTCCAAATGGTCAGTCTGCCCCTGATGGCAATGGAATCCGGACCCCGCACCGCCTGTGTGGGGAGTACTTTAAAAAAACATGAGCTGGATCTAACCGATACGATCGCTTCAAAGAGACCCCCAACCAGTCTCAAGAAGAGATCGAATATATTTTCCCAAACGATTGGCGAATACATAAACAGGCACATTCCGCTAAAACCAGGGGCGGACTGACCATTCGAGCACTCAGGCACTGCCCGAGGGCCCCGGGGTCAATAGGGGGCCCCATGAAATGTCCCTGGGTACCTTTTTTATAGGCTTTTTTGGGTGTGCTTTGAGGTTGGGCGAGGACACAGGGGCCCCATGATCCCCTATTGCCCGGGGGCCCCATGAGTTGTCAGTCCGCCCCTGATAATGACCCCGCTCAGAGCCCGCCCCTCTGATTGGACAACTCCTATTCTACATGTCAGTCCATGAATGATAATGATCAGGGGCAGACTGACCATTCGAGCACTGCCCGAGGGCTCCGGGGGCAGTAGGGGGCCCCATGAAATGCCCCTGGTACCTTCCATAGGCTTTTTTGGGTGTGCTTTGAGTTTGGGCAAGGACACAGGGGCCCCATGATCCCCTATCCCCTATTCCTGAGGGCCCCATGAGTTGTCAGTCCACCGCTGGCTAAAACCATCATGCATGTTTTTGGAAGTTCACCCCATATAACAGGCAAAACTTCTGTACCTTCCAGGTCACGGCTCATGGCGCATATTCTTTTCGGAAAAACGATCGTATGATTTGACCATCATTGAGTCAAAAATCGGTCGATTTTCACGAATTTTCCAACATGCCCGAACACTGAAAAGGGGAGGAACCCCAAAAATCATCCGGTGCCATTGACCCCACTAACAGAGCGAAAATCGGCCGATTATTCTTAGGTCCGATTTTCGGATGAAAAAATGGTCGATTTTCGACCCACGTATGGCCGGCCTTATTTTAAGAACACAGTTAGCAAAGATTTGTGCTGGAGGTGGATTTATTCTAGGGGGAGTGATAGGGGGCGGGGGGGGGGGGGTTGGTAAGAGGATTTTTTTCTGGGGGCAATTTTGAAGGGGAGAAGATTTGTGCTGAGGGGGGGGGGATTAGGAGAGAGGGTGAGGGGTTGGAGGGGGGAGGATTTGTACTAGAAAGCGAGGGAGGATTTGTGCTGGGAGGGGGTACTTGAGTGGAGGATTTTTGCTGGAGGGGTTATTGTGTTGGGAGGAGAGATTTGTGCTGGAAGAGGAGATTTGGATGAAGGATTTTTACTTGGAGGGAGAATTTGGGTGGCAGATTTGTGCTGGGATGGGGGGGGAAATTGGTGGTGCATTTGTACTAGGTGGGGGGGATTTGGTTGGAGGATTTGTGCTGGGAGGGGGATTTGTGCTAGGCTAGAAAAGATTTGGGTGGATGATTTGTGCTAGGAGGGGGTATTTGGATGGAGGATTTGTTCTAGAAGAGGGGATTAGGGTGGAGAATTTGTGCTCGGAGGGGGGATTTGTGCTTGAAGAGAGGATCTGGGTGGGGGAATTATCCTGGGAGGGGGTATTTGGGTGGAGAATTTGCATTGGGAGAGAGGATTTGTGCCCAAAGAGGGGATCTGGATAAAGGATTTTTGCTGGGAGGGGGGAATTTGGGTGGTGGATTTTTGCTGGGGGGGGGGGGGGGATTTGGTTGATTCTGGTGGAGGATTTGTGCTGGGAGGAGAGATCTGTGTCCAAAGAGGGGATCTGGGTGGAGGATTTATCCTGGGAAGGGGTATTTGGGTAGAGGATTTGTGCCAGGAGGGGGATTTGTGCTAAAAGGGGGAATTTGGGTGGAAGATTTGTGCTGGGAGGAGAGATTTGTGCTTGAAGAGAGGATCTGTGTGGAGGATTTATCCTGGGAAGAGGTATTTGGGTAGAGGATGTGTGCTGGGAGGGGGGATATGTGCCTGAAGAGGGTATCTGGATGGGGGAATTATTCTGGGAGGGTGTATTTGGGTGGAGGATGTGCATTGGTAGAGAGGATTTGTGCCCAAAGAAGGGGATCTGGATGAAGGATTTTTGCTGAGAGGGGGGGATTTGGGTGGCGGATTTTTGCTGGGATTTGTGGGGGGGGATTTGGTTGGAGGATTTGTGCTGGGAGGGGAGATTTGTGCTAGGCTAGAAAATAAGATTTGGGTGGACGATTTGTGCTAGGAGGGGTATTTGGATGGAGGATTTGTGCAAGAAGAGGGGATTAGGGTGGAGGATTTGTGCTGGGAGGGGGGATTTGTGCCTGGGGAGAGGACCTGGGTGGAGGAATTATCCTGGGAGGGGGTATTCTGGTGGAGGATTTGTGCTGGGAGGAGAGATTTGTGCCCAAAGAGGGGATCTGGGTGGAGGATTTATCCCAGGAAGGGCTATTTGGGTAGAGGATTTGTGCTAAAAGTGAGAATTTGGGTGGAGGATTTGTGCTGGGAGGGGGGATTTGGATGGAGGATTTGTGCTGGGAGGGGGGATTTGGATGGAGGATTTGTGCTGGGAGGGGGGATTTGGGTGGAGGATTGTACTGGAAGGGGTATTGGGAGGGGGGGGTATTTGGGTGGGAGAATGGGGGGGGGGGGGGGAAGATAGAAGGCACCTACAGCACACCCACAAAGCAACGGTCAGGGTGACCAGGTTTCCCAAATTAAATCCGGGGACACCCAACTGGTCATGCCTATTTTTTAACACAAAACAAGCTGCCATTTGTAACCACGCCCACAGGATCACGCCCCCATTTTTTGTCACGCCCCTAAACAGTTCGCAGACTTTCAATATTATCAGAACTTCAATGAAGACAAAATAAAATGATTTGAATTAGTGCGTTTGGTCTGGAGGGACACTGAAGGACTCACTGAACATTCGCTGCCCCCCCCCCCTTACCATTTAAATCTTTATCCTACATCTTAGATCCCGGATAAGCCCCCCCCTCCTCAGATGTCAGGTCCGCCCCCCTTCCTCAGATGTCAGTTTTAAAAGGGGCTCAGTAGTACCCTCATTCAGCAGATCCCCCGCTCAGTAGTAACCCCCAGCTCTGCTGATCCCCCATTCAATATTAACCTCCAGCTCTGCCGATCCCCAACTCAGTAGTAACCCCCAGCTCTGCTGATCCCCAACTCAGTAGTAACCCCCAGCTCTGCTGATCCCCCGCTCAGTAGTAACCCCCAGCTCTGCTGATCCCTCGCTCAGTAGTAACCCCCAGCTCTGCCGATCCCCAACTCAGTAGTAACCCCCAGCTCTGCTGATCCCCCGCTCAGTAGTAACCCCCAGCTCTGCTGATCCCCCATTCAATATTAACCTCCAGCTCTGTTGATCCCCCCAACTCAATAGTAACCCCTAGCTCTGTTACATAGGAGGAGGGGTACCATGCAGTGGTTTCATGTCTGCTCCTAAAGCATATTTCTGTGCTAGTGTGGTAAGCCAGGTTCCGCCCCCTTCAGTCTTGCACAGGTGTAGCGGCTCCTCCCCTTCAGTCTTGCACAGGTGTACCGGCTCCTCCCCTTCAGCCTTGCACAGGTGTATCGGCTCCTCCCCTTCAGCCTTGCACAGGGTGTACCGGCTCCTCCCCTTCATTCTTAGCACAGGTGTACCGGCTCCTCCCCCTTTCATTCTAAGCACAGGTGTACCGGCTCCTCCCCCCTTCAGCCTTGCACCCAGGTGTACCGGCTCCTCCCCTTCAGTCTAGCACAGGTGTACCGGCTCCTCCCCTTCAGTCTTGCACAGGTGTAGCGGCTCCTTCCCTTTAGTCTTGCACAGGTGTACTGACTCCTCCCCTTCAGTCTTGCACAGGTGTACCAGCTCCTCCCCTGGACTGAAGCGGCTTCCTCGGATGTCACCGCACACTGTGAGCTGCAGCAAGATAGAGCCCCGCCCCATTTCCTGGCTTGAGGACTTCCAGCATCATCTAGCTCCTCCCCAGCCTGACTGTCCCTGGCCCCGCCCCTTTAATTCCTTCGATTTCAGTTCTTTCAATCACGGAGGCTCAGCATCACATGTGGGTGTTGTCATGCAAACGCAGCCCGCCTAGGAACGCCCACTCCTCCAGACTTACATCCGCCCATCAAGAACTTTTTCATATTTGCATAACCCCTCCCACTGCTTACAACAGCACTGAGGGTTCTTGGGAGAAGTACTGACGGAGGGTGCTGTGCTGTTGTGTTCAGGAATCTATGTGCGGCACCCTTCTAGCCCCTCCCACCAGCCAGGATCCCCCTGCATGGCGTAGAGAAGCACAGATACCCAGCGACCCACCACCAGCCAGGATCTCCCTGCATTGCGTAGAGAAGCACAGATCCCCCCATGGTGCGACACAGAGACCCAGTGACCAGCCAGGATCTCCCTGCATTGCGTAGAGAAGCACAGATACCCAGCGACCACCAGCCAGGATCTCCCTGCATTGCGTAGAGAAGCACAGATACCCAGCGACCACCAGCCAGGATCTCCCTGCATTGCGTAGAGAAGCACAGATACCCAGCGACCACCAGCCAGGATCTCCCTGCATTGCGTAAAGAAGCACAGAGACCCAGCGACCACCAGCCAGGATCCCCCTGCATGGCGTAGAGAAGCACAGATACCCAGTGACCACCAGCCAGGATCTCCCTGCATTGTGTAGAGAAGCACAGATACCCAGCGACCACCAGCCAGGATCTTCCTGCATTGCGTAGAGAAGTACAGGGACCCAGTGATGATATCATGGGGCTTAAAATAAAAGTAAATAATGAAAATGGAAAAGTTTGATTTAAAATTCCATTAGTATGTTGATTGGGGGGGGGGGGGGGGGAGAGAGGTTCCATCAACATACAAACTTTCACAGGAGGGGGGTCACCAATACAGGAAGAAAGGGGAAATCTTCCAGTGGGGGACACCGGTTGAGCAGAGGACTTCCTCTTGTTTTGTACGGATTTCTTCCCACTTCCTGTTGCGTCTCCAGGGCAGGAAATGACGGCAATCTGACCCAAGGGGACACAGAAAGAAAGGGGAAATCTTCCAGTGGGGACACCTGTTGGGAAGAAATCCTTACAAAACGAGAGGAAGTCCTCTGCTCACTTCCTGTTGCGTCTCCAGGGCAGGAAGTGACAGCAATCTGCCCCAAGGGGACACAGACAGCAGGAAATGAAGCGCCGGCCCCTTAACCCTTTCCATGCTTTATAGAAAGTTACAAAAGAAAGTTCTGTCTGCAAACCGAGGCTGAGGATCGGAAGGGAACGCCGACTCCACGAACCCCCACCATTGGCGATCCCCCTCCCCCGGACTCAGCGCGGCAGATCGATGCGTTATAATCTCACAAAGTGACTCGCGCCATTGTCACGCGCGTCCGCCGGCGCCGATCTCTGCAATATCCCTAATGGAAGGAGGCTGTAAATTCTCCGGGATCGCAGGAGAGGTTCGGCGGACCAGTACTGCCGGTAAAATACTAGAAAGGAAATCAATCGTTCCCCTCCCCGCCGCCATTCACCCGTAATTCACGACTGCGTCCGTGAAGCTCCGCCCACTCATGGGGAAGAAAAGCGAGATACAGGACGGACCCCGAGGCAGCTCTGCGTTCAGGAATGCACCAATGGACGCATTTATATGGATGCAAGCAGCCGCAGTACTCCGGGTTACCTGGGGGGGGGGGGAAGTCAGCCTCTTACAGCAGAGCTCAGACTGGAGGAGGGAGAAGCAGCACCAGGTATCTATCTAAATTTACCTGGTATTGGGCTCCTACAGCGGAGCTCAGACTGGAGGAGGGAATAGCAGAACAAGGTGCCTACCTGAATTAATGTAGTATCAGCCTTTACAGCAGAGCTCAGACTGGAGGAAGGAGAAGCAGCACAAGGTATCTACCTAGCTGGTATCGGTCTCTTACAGCAGAGCTCAGACTGGTGGAGGCAGAAGCAGAAAGTGCCTACCTGAAAGCAGGGGATGTCTATCTGAATTTACCTGGTATCAGCCTCTTGCAGCAGAGCTCAGACTGGAGGAGGTAGAAGCAGAAAGTGCCTACCTGAAAGCAGGAGAGGCACCACGGGGTGTCTACCGGAATTAAGAGGTTTCAGGCTCTTACAGCAGAGCTCAGACTGGAGGAGGGAAGAGCAGCACACGGTGCCTACCTGAATTAACCTGGCATCAGCCTCTTACAGCAGAGCTCAGACTGGAGGAGGGGAAAGCAGCACAGGGTAGCTACATGAGTTAAAATAGTATCAGCCTTTTTACAACAGAGCTCAGACTGGAGGAGGGAAGAGCAGCACAGGATTCCTGCCTGAATTTACCTGGTATCAGCTTCTTACAGCGGAGCTCAGACTGGAAGAGGGGAGAAGCAGCACAGGGTGTCTACGTGGAGTTACCCACTATCAGCCTCTTGCAGCCTTCTGTTCAGCACAGCTCAGACTGGAAGAGGGAAAAGTATCACACTAAGAAAAATCCTGCTAACAAGGAGCATGCTGATAGGAGGGGAGAGCAGAGTGAGGTGATCAGTCTTCTGCTTCTCCTTGCACTGTCCAGTCACAGGCTGGGGGAGGGACAAGACATGAAAAAAAAATGACTTAACTGCCGCAGAGAAATGTCTGGTTCTTTGCCAGGGCTGGAGCTGCACGGCGGAGCTGGATAAATCTCAGGTTTGGATGGACAGAACTACAAATCCCTTGTCAGGTGGATCATCAGTGTCAGGACAAGGTCTCTGTACACATCAATAGAAAACACACAGCCCCATAGCCAAGGATGCAAAGGCACTCCCCCCCCCCCCCCGGCTCCTCTCCCCTCCCCAACAGACTGACCCGGAACTGTTCTGTCAGCTGTTTCCTGTGAAGCCCAGGTTCAGGGAAGCAGCACTTAGAGAGCAGCAGCATTGAAAGTCATAAACTGCAAGTGTTGGGCTAAGAATTTTCACAAAACAGTTCATCTCGTTGCGCTCCATGTGTAAAGCCAAACACGCTTCAGTACTACTTTACGTTCCATCTGCACCTCCAGGGGTAGGAACTACAGCTCCTGTGTGCGTCCAACAGTCATATCAGAGCTGAGCAGGTCACAGGTTGGCCTACAAAACCAGATTTGATGGTGTCACTCCCCCAACAGGATTCACACAGCTGCCCGGGCCCTAGGCTCCTAGGGGCCCCATACCTGCCTGTGCCAGTGTTGCCAGGGCTTGGAAGCGATAAGACGCGTGCGGTTCGTTTTATTCCAAATCAAATTTCGGATGAAATTTTCATTTATCGGAGATTCGGATGTATCCAAATTTCAGAATTACAATAGTAATGAGCGAAATTGAAGTCTGAATCAAATTTGAAAGTGAAATCGAATTTGAAAACAAGAATAGAATAAATTAGAATAGAATAGTAAGTAAAACAGAAGTAAATAGAAAACGATAGAATAGAAAAAGAAAAGAATAGAATATCATAGAATAGAAAATAAAATAGAATAAAAGAACAGAAAAGAATAGAAAATAAAAGAATAGAATAAAATAGAATAGAAAAGAGTAAAACAGAACAGAAGTAAATAGAAAACGATAGAATAGAAAATAAAAGAATAGAATATCATAGAATAGAAAATAAAATAGAATAAAATAGAATAAAAGAACAGAAAAGAATAGAAAATAAAACAATAGAATAAAATAGAATAGAAAAGAGTAAAACAGAACAGAAGTAAATAGAAAACGATAGAATAGAAAATAAAATAATGGAATAAAATATAAAATAAAATGGAACAGAAAATAATAGAATAAAATAAAAGAATAGAATAACAAAGAATAGAAAATGATAAAATAGAAAATAAAAAGAATAGAATAAAATAGAATAGAATAAAAGAATAGATTAAAAAAATGTGAGTAGAATACTATAAAATAGAATATAGCCACCTTCCGAAATTTGAATTTCAAAAAGAATAGAATAAAATGGAACACAATAGAAAATAATAGAGAAAAAAAAGATATTAGAACTGTAAAAAACAATAGAATAAAATAAAAATAGAAAAACCATCGTCCGGAATTCAAATTTCAAATCAAAAGAATAGATTAGAATTCAAATAGAAAACGAATTAGAATAGAAAAGAATGGAATAGAAAAAATAAATAGATTAATACAATAACAACTGTCTTCCAAAAAAAATACCGAATTCGAATAGAATACAATAAAATAGAATACAGCCACCTTCCAAAATTTGAATTTAAAAAAAAAAAATTGAATAAAACAGAAAAAAAAGAATACGAGAGAAAAAAATAAAATGTGGAATAGAATAAAACAGAAAGATTATAACCATCTTCTGAAAATTCGAATAGAATAAATTAGAATTCAATGCGTTTTTGATGCAGGAAAAAAAAAAAAAAAAAAACCTGGACTGCATGTGATATGAATTGGCCGTAATATCGCCCCAAATGCAGAAAAGACGCATTTTTCCGAGTGCAAAAACACGCATTCAAACTGGAACGCAGCAAAAACCTCAGACGCCCTTCACACCCGTGCGGCGTGTCCGCAGTGCCATTCCTTGGTAACGGCGAGCAAAAACAAAAATGCGCAATAAGGGCCGGACTGCCCGCCTCTGAATCACCCAGGATAGCGCCGTGTATTCCTGCGTCACGCACCACGCATGCTAAAAAGCACTTGCATTTGCGATCTGCAGCCGGCGTGAATACAAAGTTAGCGGACGCCCTAAACACGGTGCGTTTTCCCGCGCAAAAAGTAACATGCGATCCGTTGACGGTGCCTTTTAAGGAGCGAATGCGTGACTTTTGGTGCTGCGCCATTTGAGCCCAATAAGCGCACCGCACAGAAATGAACGTGAATCGCACAGGGACACACGGTGCGCTCCTGTGTGCTTCAACACGC